AGGGTTTTCAAATTTTCAATTCTCTGATAAATAAGTAACATCTTTTATTTTAATAAGTTAATTAAACATGTTAAAATATAAAATGTGTCATTTATTTAGTTTGTCGAATTTGTGTCTTAAAACTTTTGTATATTTTTCGAAATATTAGTGAGGATTATGGTCTTTTTATCCCCTGTCCCTGGTTTTGTCACTGCCTATACTAATGAATAATAAAAACAAAACAAAATGTTTATGATTAGACCTTCATTTTTTGATCAAGACAAATCTTTGGATTTGCAATATGCGTTCACCCCTGACATTTATGTGACTGACTATTTTGCTTGTTTTAAATGTAAAAGTAAACAAAGTCCTGTTCAAGTATATTTTAAGCGAAAATCATAAAAGATAATTTTTTAAATTACCTATACTCCAGGCATTAAAAACAAACCTAAAATGGTTATTTGGCCCCACGGATACTAAAAAACTTACCATGTCTACTCTATGGGTTAAACAGAAACTGTCATAGAATAGATTTAATGTTGACTAATTTATATTTTTATTTTATTTGTAAATGAGCATGGAATTAAGGAAAATAATTAAATCAGTATTTTATTGTACATTTAATATTAAATTTGTAAATCTGGATTTGTGATAAATCCAAAGTATGTTCACCTAATATTTTGGTTTGAGACAATAATGTGTATTATTTTTAGTATACTATAAAATTTATTTTCGAGAAGATTGAGTAAAATTGTTGTTAGTTTTGTTTCTTAGCAATTTCATAAATTAGTTTAATTTTGTCATTTTTTTTTTGTTTACTCCGTTTATTATGAGTTAACAAAACATCTCTATGAATTGAAATTTGAACTTCACTCATTGTTCAACATCGTGAATACAATTATTATAATTATTATAAACAATTATTGTTTACACGGTTCTGTGAATGTTGGACATTTTTTGATAATGCCATTCGTAAGTTTAATTCTTTAATTATATCCTGAATTACAAATAATAATGTATAGTTTTTAGAAATCAAATTATTAAACTTCCTCAACATCTTTGGTTGGTAATATATTGATAAACCCATAAAGAAGGGTATTTAATAATTTCTTAGAAATCTTGCTATTGTGAGTTTTTCATATTGGAAAGCAGGGACGGAGTGGCCCGCCGGGAAACTGGGACATACTTGGTGGTCTGAATTGTTTGTATAAGAAGTGGGCTGGTGTGTTGGGAATATTTTTTTTTTAGCTTACTATAGAAACAACAAAAACAAATTAATTGTGTGAACCGCGAATTAAAATATTACGACTAATATGTAATAACTCGATTTCTCATGTAGGTAATTACATAGTCTTGTGATAACGATTAACCCTGTAAATCGTATAATAAATAGTTATTCAGACGGGTTATAATATTGTATTATGATTGACATAATACGTAAACAAAAGAACATTACGACTATGATTGTGAATAACAGTAGTTTAGGCCCGCATTTTTATTTAATAATACCTCAGATTATTCTTCTCAGGATACCGATTCATTAAGAACCATTGCTGCCGTCGGGATATCTCGCCATCCTCTGTTATTAATCAACTTAAAGGTTACATTTTGTCTACCTCTTTCAAGTCTGGTTGTTACATCGATCCAAGGGTTCTTGGTTTTTCTAAGAGCCTTGTTTTGTTCGTTTTTCTTACGAGTACCTACTTTTTTTTATTAGCTGTCCATCTGCTATGAGTGTGTCCAAATCACTAATCGTTTATTCCTAATAAACACTAAGATACTTGCGGGATGATAACTTTTGGTGCATAAACATTGATTTTTAAGAACATAATTTGTAATATTATTGTGTAGAAATGACAAGTACATAAAATTTAGTTATAATATATAATATTTTAATATATTTATTCAATAACAAAAACAAAAAGTAATATAAATCCAAGCTTTGAAAAAAAATATTTGATATTATACCTAAAATAAATATATTTTGATCGTTTTTACCTCTATATAGAGGATAAAACATATGTTTTTGAATTATTAGTTTTTATCGGAAAAAAGGTAATTATGCACACCAATTTTTTTTTTTAAACACATAATATTTGCTACCAAACATTTTTCTAATGAGTTGGGCGTTTTTAACGCTAAACAAAAAAGTTAATGATTTAGATCCTGGCAGACCCCCGCGCAAACGGGTATGTACTAGTTGCCCCCAAAAGTACCTTTTTTTTACACCAATTTCCCCCTAATTACCTAGAGGAAAATATACCAGTTGTCCTCACATGTTAATATACACACAATTACAATATATAGCTTGTAAAATAGGGGAAGTAAATATAAAAATCATTAAAAAATTATAAAATTATTTATAAAAATAAAGTACGAGTAAAATAGTACAATGTTGCGTGCCAACCGTTAGATTTCAGTTACTCGCTTAGTCTATTCAACGCTTGGATATAGATTTAGTATTATTCCTACTGTACTGTATGATATTCACATAAAACGCTGGTAACTGGACATAGATTATTATTGTGTATAAGAAAAATATGAAATGTGTATGAAAATAAATTTTTGATAGTTTCTACCAGTATGTAGGCAAACAAATTGTTTTATACTTCTCCCAATCGAAAAATGGTTAGCACACATTTACCAATAAGAAAATAAATTGTGAGAAATTAAATTTGTAAAAGTGGCCTAAAATACTCGTTTGCCCGGTAAGAATTTTTGTGCCACTCCGCATCTGTTGGAAAGTTATTTAAAATCGAATGAGCTTTATTTGAAATTGGTTCATGCTTTTACGAACTTTCAAATTTTTTATATATTTGATAATTAAATGAGACTTAAAAATGTATGGGAAATAGGTGAAATATATTTAAGCGATTTTAAATTTTTTAAAACTAATAGATTATCTAAATAAACATTAGGTAACGTATAAAAGTTATAATTTAACCTTGATTCTCATTTCGGCCGTAACGTTCATCATGAACACACGTACAATACATTGTCTCATTCGCTTCGTAATCGTTATGCGCACTCTTTAGTAATTTATTTTGGTCATTATTGACTATCAGTTCCAACTTATAATTACATTATAACGATGAATAATGCACAGAATACCAGTACCGCTTAACCGGGTACACCGAAACCCACAAAACGAAATTTATCAGCCTCGATTCACCAGCTCAAAATGACTAAAAAACCAAAGTCTATGTTTCACCAAACCGTTTTGCCCCCCTCACCACTGATGATAATAACGACGTACATAACAACAATTTTGTCTTTAACCAACCTTAATGGTGATCCAGTGAACCTGTTTCACAAGAGACATGGGTTCCTCGGCTCCACCTATCCACGTCAAAAACATTTCAAACTATTCCGCCTTCAGTAAGGTATTAATCAACATCACCGACCAAAATGGTTTTACTTGTAGGTCAAACTCATCACACATCATACAACCAGCAGGTCGCCAAAACTTTAATAAAATTATGGATAGTTTACACAAAACTAATGCTAGTTTCCATTCACACATCCCTCATCACCTTCGCACAAATAGGATCGTAATCAGAAACCTACACTTTTCCAACTTAAGTAATGACATTATTAATACTTTAGTTGAGTTGGAACACTCAGTTAAATTCATATACAACGTCAAAAATAAAAACATGTCCTTTACCATTATTCTTTATGGATATTTTAACACAAGCCAATGACAAAGACGTTCTCGAAATGAAGTATCTAATTCTAATCTAAATCAATACCAAAATCTCGATTGAGAAACCGCATAAGAAAAAACGTGGTCCTCCATAGTGTCACAACTGTAAATTCTACGGACACACAAAATAATTGTCACCACGAACCTAAATGCGTTAAGTGTGATGATAACCACCCCACAAAAAAGTACTCTAAAGACCATCACAGTCCTACCAAATGTGCCCTTTGCAATGAGGAATACACAGCTAACTACAAAGGATGCCTAGTTTACAAAGCAGCATAAAAAAACAGTTCCAAATGTCACTCCGACCAAAAACTCTGATTTTAACGCCCAGTCTAAAATCAAATCGTATGCGGAAACCACCAAAAATTAAAACTCATATAGAACACAAAATTTCCGATACTTTTTCAACTTTTATATTTAATTTAAAATGAATAATTAGTCCCCTTATTTCTCTTCTGTCAACAGTCTTAAAAGCTCTTACAACTAACAGCAGTATTTAAATTAAGAATAACCTAATTAAATACATTATCAATGTCAATTATAAAATCAAATATCATTCCTACAAATTTTATAAATTTGTATTAATATAAATAAAAAATAAACATGCAGACATAATTATATAATTATAATTAGTTTATATTATAAGAATCTCAAACTTGTAATAGCACTCGGTGTGCTGAAACATTTAAATCAACAATAAATATAAATGAAAAAATCCTTGATTCTTAAGGGCTTGAATACCAGTAAATCATTAATTGATGATTCATTCAAAAGATAAATAAAAACTAAAACTTCTTTTTTAAATAGTGTTTAACTTATGTTAAACTTATATATGATATATCAAAAAGTGTTAGTACAAAAAATGTGCCAAAATTATGTATATATAGAAAAATAGAAAATATGACTGAATATTTATTACCTATTTTCAATGTATGAAAACATGTGTAGGTTAAATAAATTACTTAAAATTTCATAATGCAACAATATTAAAAATAATGGCTCATTTTGAATTTTTTAATGGGTAGGGCCACCCGTAATTTTTTAAAAGTAGATATTTTTTCGAAGTTTTCAACCATTATTTTGATGACGAGGAGGTTGTTCGACCCTCCCCCCTTATTCTTGCCATTAAATATACTATCGATAGCAAGTTAATATACTATTACGATGCGAATTTACTCCCGAAAAGGTAGAAAATATAATGATGAGCAGCGGATTATTTGTAGTATACGGAGAACAATGTATCATATATACAGTTTTCAGTTTATAAAAAATTATAGTACCTACCTACTATCGTTTTTCTTAGGAACCGCTAATGAGTTTTTTGAAGAAAAACCAACTAGGTAAATTCAATCCGGATTATCAGAAGCAACGAAAAATAGAAAGAGAGCAACAAGAGATCATGGAAAAAGAACAAATAGAAAAAATTGAAGTTGGACAACGTTGTTGCATTCGTTTATCGAATAAACCTGTCCGAACCGGTACAGTCATGTATAAAGGACGATTAAATGGTAAACATGGCTATTGGGTGGGAGTGAAATACGACAAGCCATACGGCAGACACGATGGTTGTTTGGACGGTAAACGATATTTTGAAACTTCTCATAAACACGGATCTTTCATTACTCCTTCGGCTATTGAAATTGGCGATTTATCAGCAATTGATGATGAACTCTAAGCATACTTGTATTTACAAGTCTTATTATCATTCTTAGTACTTTCTATTGTAATTCCAAATATATGCTTCAGACAATACATTTTTATGATTTGTTAATACATTTATTTTTGTAATTTGTGTATGGATTCAACGAAAAAGAAATTTAGTAATATGTTAACTATTAAAATTTTTAAATTTTTTATTTATTTTTCGGTTAGCTTACCTAAGATGTATGGAAAAATCCGAAGTCGAATGTATGATATAATGTAATCATTACACTGTAATCATACTGATGTGACTAATCCCTAAGACTCAAAAGTTCATTCTCCAAAAACTATTAAAAATGAGCTAATTATGTATTCAATATTTTAATCTTGCATTTAAAATAATCGTTTATACAACAACGGCTTTAAATAATATGGAAAATTAAAATTTATACGTATATAAAGATCAGAACGTTTTTATAACGCAGTATTCCAGACACTGTCGACAGTTAACTTTATGTATTAGGCAACATTTTGAAGTGGGAAAAGGCCACGTAAATGTTTGGTAAATACAAACTGATGCAATAAATCATTTCAAGTATACTTGAAAGTTTTTAATGCTTTCACAAATAAACATAATATTGCTACGAGTCCAGCGTATTCGAGAAGAAAACGATTAACGATGTAGATACGAGGCGTTTAATTTCAATTTATATAATTCAACCATTATAAACCAATTATATAAAATTGTTCAACTTAATTTTGAATATTATTTGTTTATTTAAACTGACGTTTTAATTTTTCATTCTAATGACGATATATTTTTCAACAATAATATTCTAACATACCTACACATTATATGATATTTGTATAAAGTTTATTTATTGTTGGATAGTCAATAAGCAAATCATAAGTATGCAGTTAAATAACATTTTATATTAAAATATGAATACATAAAAAACTCTGAAAATATGCAAAAATCTATGACAAATTAAATTTCATTTTTTAACTTGTTAGATTGATCTACCATTGATAAATTAAAACGGCGAAGCTCTAAAAATTTAGTTGAGCGAAAAATATTTAAAAATGCCACAGTATCTAAATATTGGTCTCAACTGGGTACCGGGGGAAGATGGTATTGATGGTGTTTACTCGAAAATTATTGATGTTTAAAAGAAAAATGTATATTTAAATTACATATTTTTTTTCTTCCTACCAACCAAGATGTCCAATAGTAGTGAAATTTGAAAGCGCATTTTGATGGAAAACAGAAATATATTTTATATATTTTATATAATAATATAATCATTACAAAACAGTAGAAAATCAGTTTCATAAAATGTTATTAGTGATTTTAGAAGAAAAAAAAGAACACTTATTGAACAACCTTTGGTGTTCCATACTCAGTGTTGTGTATTATCTAGATAAAAACATTAATATTTTTATCTTATCTAGATAATAATAATTTGAAGTATCTTATTATCAAACTTTTTAAATAAAATGGTTATCTAAGATAAATTATCTAAATAATTTTGAAAAAGATAATTTTTTTTGTGGGAAGTGAAGCGAGAAATAATAAACACTAAGTATTACCGTTTGTACGTTTTAAATTTTAAATATCCATATTCTATAAACGACGAAAAGGTATTGTAAAATTATTTACACAGAAAATATAAAAGTGGACGTATTTCAAATAATACCATTCAATTTTATAACGATTAACTTTATTTTTTATATAACTGACGACTGAGCGATATCAGCGATACTAGGTGATACGCTGCCTAATGCTTACACCCGAAATTTAATATACATATACCTAATAGCTAATATTATACTCATATAATAATAATATAGACAATAATTATGTGAAAACATGGATATAAAACGTCAATCTTTGGTTGGAAAGTTCCATAAATAACAATGTATAAACTTAGATTAAAGTAATAAATAATAATAAAGCCAACCAGTAACCACTGAATAGTGGCCACGGCTATATAGTATTAGTGTATATAGATCTTAAATCGAATTAGTGAATACTGAGAATAGTAACAAGGTAACAGTAATCACTTATTTGTTATTGGTAAATACGTATGGTTAAATAAAATAAATATACCGATTTATATGGAATATTTTAAAATTATGATATATTTAATCAAGCATGAGTTTCATAAATATAATGTACATACATACAGATTGCATTAAAAATTATAAATTGTCCGTCAGAGACCAGTATTAATAACATTAATAATACTATTTTTAGTATCTTACATTCATACTTTGCTACGTTAACGTTCCATCGACCATCATTGTTATTAGTTATTTTTGGCTGTTCGACGTTGGTAACTAGTTGTTCTTATTTCTCAATTTAACATGGATAAATTTATTTCTCAAGAGAGGAAACGGATTCATGAAGATAATTCTGACATTACAGGTATATGTTTAAATCATACAAATCATATAACTAGATACATTTTTAATTATACATTATTTAAATTATAATAAATTAATTTGATCTGTTAACTGATTAATAACATAAAATAAAAAGAAATAAAAATAATTTATTTATAATATCTTAAAATATTTATGTTTAAAAAATTTGGGTAATAAAAAATAAAAATAGGTTTATGTACAGTTTTTTGTCTAAATTAGCAAAATTAATTAAGATTATTTTAAACTAATTAAATCATAAGTAATAATTAATATTTTTATTTATAGAAAAATAACCATTTTACAAAGTTCTGAATGATGAAACTATTTAAATTATGTTTTTATCTAGTTTTATCTGTTTTTTTTATACCTAGTTAAATGAAGTTATCTTTTATCTATTATCCAGATAAATTTTTAAATAGTTATCTATTATCTTATCCAGATAATATTTTGGTTATCTATGTAAAACACTGTCCATACTATTTATACCATTTGTAACTTTTTTAAATCATTATATAAATAAATAAACAAATAGTTTATGTATATATAGAAATAAATAAATAAATAAATAATAACTTAGTCCCTATAAGTTGTACACTATAGCCTGTAGCTTAGCTTTGTATGTACCTGGCGGTGTATTTTAAATTCTAAATCAGTCGTACCAGTACTTTACAATTATAATAGTACTTCAGGCTAAGCTTTAATTTATTTACGATATATATATATATACATATTCGTATTTATTTATTTGTATATTAAATACAAGTATTAACCATTTAATAATTTTTTAAATCACCAACTCAGCGTACACAAACATTAAAATAAAATATTCCTAATTTTATACCAGGAACAAATAAAGCTATATTAATTTCAATGTATAAAACTAGTTGGGTAGAATATTATGGTGCGTTCCAAAGATTCATTGCAATTTATTGTCAGATTTTATACATGTTAGAAAAGTTAGAGAATCATCATAATTTTGATACTTCGTCTAAATCTTCATAATTACTTAATGCTATTATTCAAAGCTAGTTTGCTATTAGCTTAAATCTGGTGGATTATTTTCTCTGACTTTACCCCCTTGAAAAGTTCTACAAAAAATAAATTGTGATATTTATGAAGAATGCAAACGAATCAAAAATATATTCAAAATTTTAATGAAAAAATGAGAAAACGCCAACAAAGAGTTTTTCCGTTTGATTTAATAAATATAAAAACATGTTGAAATCGGTTAATGGTGAAATAGCTATGCCAATAATTAATTCTTACTAAACTAAACCAACGATCTCGAAGAATATTTTGGAATTTCAATTTGCATACTAGAACCCCTTAGGAATTTTTAAATTAACTCCATGATTGATTTAATAACAAGTTTTGTGTCAATAAAATATATGAAAATATTAAACCTTGTGTCAGTTTTATATTTCTAATTCAAACTCACTAGCTATTGAAGCGAATTTTTACTATGGCAGACAAGATGGACCGACATTTTGAAAAAAGATAAGCCATCAGATGTTAATAACATTTTTTAGTTTTCAACATTAAAACGCCCCGAAATTTTTTTAAGAAACAGAACCGGGCAAGAAAGATTAAAAGGACTATGCCTAATGTGTACGCATAGAAATATTAAAATTGACTCTGAAGAAGTTATCTAAGGATTTTAAAATATTAAATTTAAATTAAATTAGTATATTAGTAGAATAGTATACATAAATATTCGAATCAGTGATATTCACAGCTGGTGATTGTTAAAGATGCGCTTACTGGACGTTAAAAATACTAATATTAAATTTTAGTATCGATAAATGACTATAAATAATTACAAGAATTTTACTTTTGTAGTATTTTCAATAATAATGGTTTGAGCTTCATGGGCGTTAGTTATCATTCTTCGCTAATGAAATACTGAAATATATCTGCAGAAATTTCATTATAGAGTTTATTAAGTGAGGTACAATAACACTGAAAAGTTTTTAAGGAAATCGGTTTATTTGGCATGATTTAGAAGAATAAAATTTTTATTTTTAGCTTTACTTACATTGATTTTTGGTTTACTGGCTATGTTCCTTTTTAATATTTTTGTAATATTATGTATTAAAATAATTTTTAATATTACTTCTATTATTTATTTATACAATACAATGATTTTTAATAATTTATTGTTACATATTAGTAGATATAAATATTTACGTATTTATAAATATTTGACGGGTTGAGCCCTTTATACAAAAGTGCATAACACATTTATATATACAATAACTAGAAAAATTATTTTACTTGCTATACTAAAATTAATACAAAGATACATTTTATTTATAATTATTTATTAATTTAAAAAGTGAAGGAGTGGTCCACATTGGCAAGGTTAGCCTTACCTAATAATATGCCTAATAAATTCATTATATGTATATATACGAGTAGTTTGAATATTATTTAATATTTTGTATTGATAATATTGTTGTTATTTGTTTTTACATTTATTAGTATTCATTACTTCTATTTTATCCTCTTTTTAATTTTATCCAGAATTATCTCTCATTTGTGCTGAAGTAGCACTAAAGTACTCCATTATTAGGTATTTAACTTATTCACTTCAGATTAACCAATTAC